GAGGAAACCCACGCAGACACAGGGAGAATATGCAAAGTCCACACAGACAATCGCTCAAAGGTGGATTCGAACCACCCTGATGCTGTGAGGTAACAGTGCTAACCACTGAGCCACCCTAGTTCACTGGGCTGACTTCTGGGAAGGGGGAAAGATTGAGCATAAGCCTGTGAGATTTAGAAGAATTAGATGTGATCTTATTGAAACAGATCTGATTTTGAAGGACCTAACAGGATGGATGTTGTGAGGATGTTTAAACTTGTGGGGATACTGGAGCTAGAAGATAAAGTATAAACATTAGTGATTTCCCATTTGAGACTAAGATTAGGAGAATTTTTTTTTCTCTTAGAGGGTTGTTAGTCGTGGAATTCTCTTCCCTGGAGAACAGGCAAGGCTGGGTCACTAAATAACATAAGGCTGAAATCAATTCTTGATCAGTCAGGGAATCAAGAACTATGGAGATAGGGCAGGAAAGAGGACATGACAAATGTCAAATCAGTCTTGATCCTATTGAATGGTGGAGCAGGCTCGAGGGGCCGAATGGCCTACTCCTGTCATATGGTCTTAAGAAGACAGCTAATGTATTTTTTTATTAGAATGTGAGTTCTTTCAAGTTGTGAGAAATTTGTAAGGGTGCTTACAATAAAGTAGTTGCCCCATACTGAAGCACAGTGAGTATTCCATTTCCTCTCTTTAAAAACATTATACCACAAGCTGCTGATTCTTTTCTTTTAAAAGTGCAGTTAGATGTTCCTGAAAACATAGTTTCCATTTTCCCAAAATGAAATATAGCTTAAAAACACTAAGAATGTAGTTTTCCACATTATGAAGGCTTACCTGTGTCCAGATGTTCATCAGCTCCACCATTTCCTTTCTCCAAATTGACGGGAATGTAAAAGTCAGTGTGTAACTCCGTCCCTTTCTTGGCATGAGAACCACCTCATTGGCAGAAACTGGTTTCTTCAAACCTTCAATTCTTAAAGCAGAGGCTTAAAAGGGACAAAGGGTCTTGATATTGAAGTCTACAATCTCCTCCCACCCAAAATACGATGTAACCGTAAGTACAACCATGTGAAATAGTGGGTTGTTCTTACTCACAGATGTGCTGTGTTTGTTTCTGAATTGGTACAGTACAAATATTGTCCAATACAAGCTAAAACTATAACTGGCATGTCTCTAAAGCAAAATTAATGATAGCAGTGATTTATTTTTTTACCTCAACACATGTATTCAAATGATGGTTGGTTTCTAGTACTTTCAAAATGAGTGGAAGATAAATGGAACTTTATACAATACTTGGTAATTAAACAGAGCAATATAATTCTAGCTCTAACTGAGCAGACAAGGTCACTGACTTAGTACGACCCAAAACGTTAGCTTGCTAAATCTCCATGGATTCTGCCTGACATACTGTGATCTCCGACATTTGTTGTTTTCAGTACAAGGTCACTGATTTTGCAGCTAACATTCTCGACTGAGCTACTGGTGATTACTAGTTTTCAGTAGCATGAGCATGAATTACACATTGGCTTGATCTAACGCTTTACAGAATTTCATGTGTTCAATGCATTGTTAACTCTCGATTGTAAATTTATATAAATTTTATCCACTGTAACATAGTTAAAAATTAACTTTGTAGTGAGTGAAATAAAATGTATAAGTGACACAGCCAATGGAACGCATCCCAAGGTGAGCAAGCCCAGTTCTTCAATGACTTCATTCTGTAAACAATCGTAGAGACTAGGCTAAACTTCATGTTGTTAATGGATAAAATGTCAATAAATCCATAATGCCAGAAGAATTTCTCTCTGTGCTATAAATAGTGAAATCATAAATAGGTTTATAAGTTTTGCATAAGGTACTGAAAGTAATCTTCACCCAACGATGTAATTTCATACTCAATACTTGTATTAATTTAACCATTTATTGCATTGCAATAAAAGTTTTCATTTGCTGTAAAGTTTAAATTTTCAACTGCAGATTAAAATGTAAGCTTTGTAACATTTGGAAAGGTCGACGTGAGATGTAAATTAAGAACATTTGAGGCAGTGTTCAAGTGAACCAATTTAGTGGATCATAGAATGGGAGAATGTGGGTTTGTGGATTGCTACATTGCAAGATTCTATTATCAACTGAGATAAGACCATACGAAGTAGGAACAGGAGTAGGCCATTCAGCCACTTGAGCCTGCTCCACCATTCTGAAGATCATGGCTGATCCAACATTCCTTATGTCCACTTTCCTGCCCTTTCCCCATACTCTTGATGACAGATGGATATTTTGCAGGGGATGAATTTGCCAATCAGGAATGGGAAATGTGAGCATGGACAGTTCCATGTCCTCAATAGGAAACAGAAATGGTATTTATGAGGATGGCCCCTTAATTGATATAGAAATAGACTTACAATTAGCAGCTGCAGAGCAAGAACAGAGGTAGGACATTTTCGAGTAGTGGCCTAATTTAAACAGACATTTAAAGACCTATTGGATAGATTCCTAGCCACAGTGCTGTTGGGTATTAATTAGTACAGAGACAAAGAGATAATGTTGGCCATAAAGACAGCAGTGCCTTATCTTGCTCTACTTTGTTCTTGAAACAAAAAGGGAAACTGTGCAGAAGAGGGCCCAATTGGAGAAGGTTATAACTCCTATTGGCCAATTGAGCAATAGAAATAGCCAGGAACACTCACTGGAAGGAAGTCAACCTGGTGAACTGAGCAGTCACGGTACTGATGGAGATCAGAGCGCTGCCCTTATTGAGGGGGTGTAAGTATTCATCCTGTTCCACCGCATGCTGTTATAAAGCAGAGGTCAACTCCACCCCACCAATAACTAAAACCGAAACACCCAGAGGGGCGCACCTCGCCTTTTAATCTGTTAAAAGAGCCCCCAATCTGTTATAAAGGATTGGTTAAATAAAATAAACCTCTGACACTTACTTTATAATCAAAACCTAACAATTTACTTATTTAGCTCTAACAGTGAACAAATTAACTAAACTATTAACAAACCGAATAAATCCCTTCTAACTACTAACTATTCTTGAATAAAATGAGATTCTAATTATATGCTGTTCTAATAAATATAAGTCCCACTTATTTGGACCAAAATAATAAAAAAAATTAGAATTTAGTCTCTTGAAATTATAGCTAGGTTACAATTTCCGGAATGTTCTGTGCCTTCTCCATCAAAATCTTTTCTCTGGAACGCCTTCTCTGTGAATTCTTCTGTCAGGAACATTAACCAGTTGTATTGTAGGTACCTTTAATTTAGATGGAGCTTACTCTAAAGCTTAGCGAATTCTGTGAGAGTGTTTCTTTTTGAGCTGAGAGCTATTCTCTTGGCAGATGACAGTTGGCTCTCCCTCGATTTTTCAAATGCCCTCATCTTTTATACCCTTGATGACAAATCAATTTCTTACAATAGGATTGGTCCTATGTTGTCAAAACCATCAGATTTAAATTTAATTGGTTTTTGGTATCGAAGGGTCCAGTTTAAATTAATTGACTAAATTCAAAAACCTGTTGTTTTGGTAAAAATGCTGCTTTGCCTGCTAACAGTATAGCCTTCTGATACAAAAGTTTCAAGTCAGGTGCTCTGTGCACCTGCAAACCCACAGACAGCATAGACAAAGCACATCATCTTTTAAAGGGACCATGCACTGCTTTCCCTCTTCGCATTTTACAAACATCAATATTTTACAAATAACAAATTCCAACGTCCTGCGTCCCAATCCATAAGTACTATACCCAACTTCACAACAATGCTAAGCATTGATTTTCCATTGGGTAGCTTCAGTGCTGTGGAGGCTTCTGCTCTTCAAGTTTAGCTCTCATGACCTCTTCATAAATTTCCGAGAAGTGCATCCATCAACACATGGAGACCCTCTTTCTCCCAAGCTGCAGTGCAACAGCAGCAGCAGGAAACAGAAAAAGTACTATCTCACCTCACAGATACACCATCCACAATTCCATATATTTCAGGTGAGACTTTGTGTGTGGTTAGATGGGGTGCCCCTGGGTGATAACATATCAACAGAGGAGCTGACAAAGTAGGAGACTTATCCTGCACAGATGTAGGGCCTAATGGCATCAATACAAATGAGGGTCTATCTGGTACTGAAGCACAAAATGTGTTCCCTCATGCCAGAAATCTCTGAGGCAGTATGGGCTCATGAATTGAGAATGGAGGATTCCATCCAGCTCGTGCTCACCCATGTGACTGACAGCTCTAAGAGCTTGGGCTCTTCTCTGAGGAGGCTAGGCAGTTTCATAGCAAGTCATATAGTCATAATGAAAGCATACTGACCCCCATAAGGCACGCTGCGTAGCCCAGACCAGTCAGTGGCTCTGGGGGAACGGAGATCTTTGAAGGAAGAGCCAGATCATCCAGCTGGTGCTCCCCTCTAGACATCCTGAAAAGGGTTAAGTACGTAGCCCATGATCTCTTGAGATCTCCTGCCGTCAGGCTCTTAATGAGCTTTCCAAGCATCAAATTGGCCTTGAATGGAAGATGTGGCAGGATCTGAATCCCACTCAAGTGAAAATAGCCAGCGGTTGGGAACGAAATCGGGAAACAAGTGTGCTGACCACAGCTGGTACTTTTTGGACCTATCTTCCGCTGGCAGAATCCAAAAATTCGACACACCAAGTGCCAGTGTGCCTGGGAACTTTTCACAAATATCCCCATTTACTTCCTACTAGTGTATGAATACACAGCAGCATTTGTAGATGTAGGTCCTGAAGATACCCTCTACGAAAGAACGAGAACCTTATTTCCAGTGTTTTTCAGTTTGCAGAAAACAAAAGGATTTAAATTTGAACAATTTCCAAGTGGGTAAATGTGTGAATTCTCTGCGTTACAGGATAATCTACCTCCTATTTCACTAGCTTTTCTTACAGAATTACTCAGAATTCTGTTTCTGAAATTGACAGCCTGATCTTTATGATAAAATGCATCTTTTAAATATTAGTCAAAATCATCAAGAGAAATGCTTTGTGTACCTTCTCTTTGGCGTAAATCATTTCCTCATAAAAGTTTGCAGACTTTAATTTGTTTCTCATGATCTCGAGCTGTTCTTCCAGCCACATGACCTGGTCACTGAGCTGTAGTTTGCATCCTTCCAATTCAGCCAGCTGCAATGTAAACAGAAAAAAGAACAAAAAAAGTTGGATGTTATATTTTATTTCTGGAAGCAAAGCCCTATGTTCTACAATTATCTGCTTTCATTTGCATAAATAAGGATTAAATCCAAAGGTTGTCATAGCCTTCTGTGGCAGTTTATGTGGAATAATTTAAAACATAAAAAGCTTTGCCACAACATAGGTTTTTATTCCCATCTCATCATGAGTCTCTTTGCTAACTGCAGAGGTCACTTTAGTGAATTGACAATAATTCCTGAAAACTTACTATGAAATATGATGTCTAAATCAATACTGAAAGCACACTTAATCACTTGTTGCATCAATGAGTTATTAACCAGGACCAGTGTTACACAAACGACAGCACCTACATTTTTGTTACGGAGCCTGAGGTAATTAGAAATCCATTTCAACCAAACACCCTCTACAAGGAATTGAAGGCATTGCAGGCAGCAGTAGATACATGCACCAATTACTGAAAGTAAGTGTGCAGGTGCAGCAGGCAGCAAAGAAGGTAAACTATACGTTGACCTTCATAGGGAGAGGATTCAAGTCCAGGAACAAGGATGTCTTGCTGTAATTATACAGGGCATTGATGATGCCACACCTGGAATATTGTGTGTAGTTTTAGTCTCCTTATCTGAGGAAGGATGTTCTTGCTGTAGAGGGACTGCAGAGAAGGTTTACCAAATTGATTCGTGGGATGACAGGATTGACATATGGGGAGAGGTTGAGTTGGGATATGATTGTATTCACTGGAGTTTAGAAGAATGAGTGGGGGATCTCATTGAAAACTATAAATTTCTGACAGGACTATATCTAGGAAGGATGTTCCCAATGGTGACACACTCCAGAACCAGGAGTCATACTTTAAACATAAGAAATAAATCTCTTAAGACAGATGAGGAGAAATGTCTTCACCCAGAGAGTGGGGAGCATGTGGAGTTCACTGCTACAGAAAGTGGTTCAGGACAAAACATTGTGTTTACAAGAAGGAGGTAGATATAGCTCTTGTGGCTAAAGGGATCAAGGGATACGGGGGCAGGGTGAGATTAGGGTATTGAGCTTGATGATCAGCCTTGATCATATTGAATGGAGGAGCTGGCTCGAGGGATTAATTGGCCTGCTCCTGCTCCTGCTCCTAGTTTCAATGTTTTCTTGATCTCCACAACCAAACTGACAAATTTTTACTGAAGCACACAGACCCTGAACCAGCAAGGATAAGTTAGAGCAGTTAATTTCATGCCAATCCAAGTAAACAAGGCTGAATGAACAGGAAAGAAAGATGGTATTGAAAAATTTAAAAAGTCAGAAAAGAAAACTTTGACATTTCTTTCTTAGTTTAAGACAGTTATTAAAAACTGGTTGAATGAGGCTGCACATTTAGAAAATGTTGGTTTTCTGTGTCACAGAGTTGTGCAGCAGGAATCAAGATTTCTTCTTCATTTTTATCCCTGAATCTACTCCTTGCTAATTATTCCTGAACTGTAGCAATGTCGAGCTGAGACTGCCACCCTGAATGAGATGCTTACTGAGCCACAGGAAAACCTGGAAGCCGAAGATGAAGAAGACTTCCACATGAGGATGAGACCTCCACGCTGGGACAAGACTGTCATGCCTGAAAGAGACAGCCACGTTGTGCTGAGACCACCGCTTCTCCTCCTTCAGGCGTCCCATCCCTGCTGCTGACCTGGATCCTTGGCCCAGCCTGCAAGTCCAGGCTGGGGGAGTCAGCCAGGACCTGTTCCCAGCTTGCCAGGAGACCCCAGGCTGGGATGGAGTTGGACTGGACGAGCCCTGGGCTCAGACCACCTACTCCACTGCCATCTCAAAAAGAAATTTTGCAGGAGAAACTGATTCCATATCTCCTGCATGTGTACATCAGTGGCTGTGCTGGTTTAGTAAGGTCAGGTGCGCATTGGGGAAACAATATGTAGACAGGGTGACCACTTTGCAGAATACCTACATTCTGTCCATAAAAATGACCCTGAGCTTCAAATTGCTGCCACTTCATCACACAGCCTTGTTTCCTGGCCAATTTCACTATCTCAGGCTTGCTGCAGTGGTCTAGTGAAGCTTAGCGCAAGCTGGAAAAACAGCATCTCATTTTATGCTTAGGGATCCTGCAGTCTTCAGGACTCAATACTGAGTTCAATAATTTTAGAACGTTTCATTATGTTCCATGTCATTTACCCAAGCCCCACATCTGATCATAACATGGGCTGCTTTCAGCACAGCCAACCCATTTTTACTCATCAATGGCCCTTATTATCAGTTTTCCTTTTTCCCTAGCCTCACCATTATCCAATTCCTCATCCCTAACTGCTGTTTTCCCTCTCACTGGGCTCTATCTCCAATGATCACACCCTCCAGCCACTTACCCACCCTTCAAAATTGACAATGTCGAAGGATGACTCATATCTCATCTCACTGCCACTGGGATTGAACCAGCGGTGGGTGAATTTACTGCATAGAGGCTGGTATCCCTTCACCAATTACCCTTTATTTAAACGTGGAGGGAATTTAACACAGATCCAGCTTCTTCAGGGCCAGCTCTCGGTGTGAACAGAACCCCCGACACTCCTGTTTATATCTGTCAGCCAGCACTCCCTGACTGGCGCAGATTAACAGCCCCAATTAGGGAACTCTGGCTGACCTTCTTACAGTCACTACAGTGGGAGAGACCTATGCCAATGGCAGCCCAGCAGTTCCTGTTGCATGGGTTTGCAGAGTGCATGAGGAGGTCTCTCCTCACCAAGGTCATTGGGTCAGACTGCCAAAATCTGACCTCCCTAGATCTCATCACCATCAACACGACTGCCCAGTACTTCAGAATAATTTACCTGATGATTAAAAAGGATTGAGGCTTTTAGCTCCCTGATAAATTTGTAAGATTTACAATTGGCTGTCAAGAGAAAATGTTTGTTTTCTTTTCACAATACATTTCACATCTGTAAAAGTTACAGCATACTCATTAAATCATAGAAATACACAGCAAAGAAAGAGGCTGCAGAGTGCCAGGGACATGGGTTCAATTCCACCCTTGGGTAACCATCAGCGTGGAATTTGCACATTCTCCCCATATCTTTGTGGGTTTCCTCCAGGTACTCCAATCTCCTCCCACAGTCCAATGATGTGCAGGTTGGGTGGATTGACCATGCTAAATTACCCTGTAGCATCCAGGGATGTACAGGCTAGGTGGATTAGCCATGGCAAATGCAGGGTTACAGGTATAGGGTAGGGGGATCGGTTTGGGTGGGATGCTGTTCAGAGGGTCAGTATGGACCGATGGGTCACATGGCTGGCTTCCACACTATAGGGATTCTATGATTTAATCCATTGTATCTGTGACGGGTCTTTTAACAAGCCATCCAACTAGTCTCATACATGCGATCTTTCCCTCAAAACAGTGAATTTTTCAAAGTACAAATTTAACTTTGTTTGCTCCACATTCACTTCCATATTAATTCCATAGTGATGAGGACAGAAGAAACAAAGTGTCTTTTTCCCAGTAGGCTTTCAATTACAAAAATCAATTTTTCAAAACGATCCCTGATAAATCAACAGGATCTTCAATCTTCACATGAAGTGTTTTAAAGGGATTTTCCAAACGTTATTGTCATTACATTTCCCACAGAACCATTGATCAATATTAAAGTAATTGGCTGTCTCAAGAAACAGCAAAGAAACCTATTCAAGAGAAGGTAAGTTTCAATATTTCATTCACAGGTAACAACATAAGCCTTGTAGTATAGCCTTAAGTATAAACATTGAAAGCAAATATGTTTGGTACTGGCCTTGTGGAGGTGTAATTTACTGGATGCGGTTTTAGGGGGATTTTATGGGAGACGTCAACTTTATAATATCTTCGTTGAGGATCTGGTCCCTGATACAGAAGCCTGGAGCCTGAGTGGCATAACACTTGTCATCAACATAGATGCACTTGTGAGACGTGGTTATTGGCAAGTCCGCTTTATATACTGTATGTCGAACAGCATTGGGATTAGCACTGAGCCCTGCGGTAGTACCTTGGCCACTCTTCTCCACACTTCTCCCTTGTCCAAGGCAACCTGTTGTGAGGTGTTGTTTCAGCAACTGTCCTGACTCAAGGTGAAAGCACTTTGTACAAGGTTTAGAGCAGGCCAGTATTTCACACTGTATTTTAGCCACTACACCTGCCTTCAGGTGCTAATAGAAGCCACCTTTGATGTAAGTGGTGAGTGATAGAATGTGATCCCGTGTGCTGTGCCCCTTATAGAAAGCAGTTTGTTTGACATTAAGGGTGGTCATTAAGGTGGTCTGTACTTCTGGACATTGGTGTTGCAGGATAAAACACTCAAAAAATTTAAAACACTCAGAAAATATTGACATGGTCGACCTTTGGCTGCCAATATGTGACTTTTTCCACATCACATGGAATAGTAATAGCTATACCTTTAGAATGGGTTTGAGCTCATGATTCTTGTATAGAAATAAGCCAGGCCCACGCTGTCTCAGGAATTCTGCTGTGTGGGGCACTGCTACTATAACACCCCAAACCTCAGCACTAGCCCTATCCTAACTCTGCTCAGATGACTGCTGTTCACCTGTCTAGTAAAGGGCACCAAACAGATATTTTGTTACTGAGCACAATGATGCCCATCATAACTGGAATACTTAATTCAACACCCATTCCCTGGCTCCTGTTCTTACAAACATCACTCCCTCATGTATCTGGCGACTGCCAATAATCCAGAAGCTAGCTGAAACCATCCAAGCTGCAATCACCAAATTCACCGCCATGCTCTGGTCAAAACACACGTATAATCCATCTTCCATCTCCATGTCCTACAGCATGCAACATTCCTGAACAAGATCTACCAGTAAACATTGTTTGGATCAAGGAACAGGAAGTCACTAATGAGTTTCTTGAGGCAAACCCCATCTATTGAATGGTAGGCTTTGAACTACCATGGCAAGCGTGGTCATTGTTAAACAAGGTAGAAGATCAGTCA